GGGGGGTGGCAGGTAAGGGGGGTTGGGCTTGTGCTCTGTATCCAGTTGGGGACATCCCTGCCACCGTTGTGTTTGTCTTCGTGCGTCGTGACGGAGCGTTGCTGCCATCGCTCCACCACACCTACGGGCGGTGATGCCATTCCCTGTCGGGTCTTGACACATCCCTGAAATACCCCCTCCTGTCGTAATGGTTCTCGTGGCACATCCATGCTTCTTCTCCATCCTGAGACCCTTGTGGTGGCCACGGCGTGGGAGAAGGACGCCATGAAGACGTCGAGGAGACGGCTGCTCCGTTGCAGGGTCTTGGAACGCCGCTAGCTGAGCCAACTTCTCTCTGACAGCAGGGCTTCGCTCTCAGGGTGTTTCAGTGTTTTCCATGGAAAAGGTGCCATCCGGCCTGCTCGCCGTCCCATCCGGAATGGTTTGGTCTTTGCTGCCTCCTTTGGGGGAGCACCAAGGGTGCTGCGTCCGTCCGTGCCAGTGTCCCTTCGGCGCGTTGTTGGGCTGACGTGACGCGCTGGAGTGCCGCCTGGGCATGCTGCGCCACGTTGCTGGGGTCTCTGTCCTGGGGACATCCAGGAGCCGTCGCTGTCTTGTGGAAGAGGTTTGAACTGCGGAGCATCGCTGCCGTGATGGGGCAGGGTGTGTGATGTGGGCGCTGATTTTCCTGAGCGGCACAGGAGATTACCCGTGTGCTTGTCCCCTGTTCCGATTTGGCTCGTTCGGGTCTGTAGCTTAGAGGGTCAGTCCCTTTCCATCCAGAGCACTTCCCTCTGGCTACAGCCAGAGTTGGCAGAAAACAGACCTGCATCCAGTAGTATGGACAAGGCAAAGGAGCGAGGAATGCTCCTCTTACCGCATCTGAGAGGCGTTTAACTAGCTCAGGAAACCACGTCAGTTATTAAGGCAGAAACACTGGAAAGGGAAACCTTCCCTCTTTTCCCTCACTTTCTTGCAAGAGTGCTTCCAGCCTGAAGGGTTTTCTCTGGACAAACAATCCGCCTTGCACTGGAAAACAGCCTTGTTGGTGCAGAAGGCTCAGGCTCTTCCTGCGTTTTCTAAAACATGGCTGTTGCTTATTGCACGTGCTTAAAAACCTGGGGCCATTCATTGAGCGTTGAGGGAATCATGGAATGGTTTGGGTTGGAAGGGACCTTAAAGACCATCTAGTTCCAACCCCCTGCCAACACCTTCCACTAGACCAGATTGCTCCAAGCCTTATCCAGCCTGGCCTTGAGGCTCTTCCTAAAGCCGGGCAAAAATCAACATTGCCACAGCAGCCTCCGGCTCCCGGCCATGCATGGGATGTGGCTGGAGTCATCTAGAATGCTGGAATCATCTAGAAATACAGACGCTGGAGTGAGTAATGGTCAACCTCTGTGTAACTTTTGAAAGGAAAGTTAGTCTTGTGCCAGAGGAGCATGGAATACTTCCATGGAAGGAGCTGCTGGGAAACTTAAAGTGAGATTAAAGGAATTTAATCTACCTTTCCCCCAGCGACTGGACGGCCCGTGGATGTCGGAGCCGGTTTCCAGCGTCACGCTGCACTGTCAGGAGCTCACCGCTGTGGCCTGTCCCGCTGGCCAAGGCTGTCGCCAGCAACAAGAGCATCTGCGCCTTGGCCAGAGCCGTTCTTGGTGTGGGGATAGCTGGTGGTGCCTCGGGTGCCGCCGTCCTCGCACACGTAGTGCTGTTGCGTTTTCTGCCTCCTGTGTGACGTTTGGGTCTGAGGTGTCAGGATACAGGTACCTCCCCGTCCTGTGGAATAACCACGTCCCGTGGCATCAGCCGCTGGTGCCATCAGGAACATTCTCTGTTATCATTTACATCTTTTAGCCAGACTTGGTTTTCTTCCCTGCTCCTTTGACGCTGACTCTTTTTTCCTTGGTCTTCTGGATTTGTAAATAATCTGAGGGATCATTCAGTTTTGCACGTGTTTAAATTTGAGTGTGGATGGGGCCATTTGCTTTGTCTGTCACTTGTTTCTTCTTTTCTTCGCCCAAACACAAGTTACTCTACGGTGGCTCCGGCTCACAGCCCTTCCCACTCGCTCTAGTGCCCCGTTACCGCTTCGGGGAGATAAACTCCAGATTAGGTAAGGAATTGCCATCCTGTTGCGCTGACTGTTGCTCTTCCTTTCGGCATCTGATCATTCATAGAAGCTTTCCTCGTTCCTGAAGCGTTCTCAATGCCTCTCCAAGCCAGTCTGGCCGCTGCGAATGGTTCCAGGCTTTGTTTTCGGAGCCCTCTGCGTGCAGCTCCTCATTGATCCCCGTGCGAAGGAAGCACAGTCGATATATGGATCATGGTCTCGGGAAGGAGAGGTCTGCGGATCGCTCAAGGCTAGAGTTAATGCATGTGGACCTCACCCTTATCCTTTCCACAATGCCAGGGTCCTTTGCTTGGAAGGATTTATCCAGGAGGGTTTTAGGCTCAGTCACGTTCCAGCAAGGCCCAACAAAGGGGCTTTTGACACTTTCCTAAGTGATGAAGCTGTTTCCTGGTGTACTTATCCTCAAAACAGAGGCTGACTGGATCCTTTCTGTCCCCTTTTCTTTTTGTTATCCCATAAATTCCTCCCTTTCCTGTTAGTGCCACAGTCACTGAGCTCTCCCTGCTGCCAGCCCAAGTGGGGTTATCTTCCTGCCAATAATCAGATGCGTTGGGATGTGGAATTGCGGTGCGCCGTCTGCGCTCCGGCTGGACTGGAGGCATCCTCTTTTTCGCTGGTCCTGGTTAGAGGAAGGAGCAGGAATTCCACAGCTGCCTCACAGGTCCTCTCCCTCCCTCTCCATCCTTCTCTCATGGCAGCATCTTCTGCTGCCTTCCAGGCCGACCGCTATCCCAGCGGCAGTTACACCTGGAAAATACCTGCCTTTGGTCAGTACAGCCTTGGCAGTAATGTGTTCGTAGCTGCAGGCACTAACTCAGAACCTGATGGCTGGGGCGGTTTTTGGTGTAGTACGCTTTGCCGCGCTGTCGGGATACGGCTCGGTGCGAAGCTGTCCCGCGTTTTCGTAAGGAAGTGGGAAGAGCCTGGTGCTGCAGCGTTGCGGCTGTCCTGGCTCCCGCTGAGTAGGTGAGGAGCGGTGGCGCACGGCTCTGATGGCTGAGGATCACAAACAGATGTCACTGGTGACTGGGGGACTGACGCGATGATTTTCTTGGGCAGTCGGATGCTCTCAGTCACCCAAAGCCGTTGGCTAATCACCTGCTTGCTCCCTACCTAGGCTGAACTTGATGAGCAGCATTTCCATGCACAGCAGCCCACGGAGCAGCAGATGTTCAGGGTTGTTTTCCAGGCCTCAGCCCATACTGCTGCCTGACTTCTGACCGAGCACCGAATGCCAGAAAGCAGGTGCCTGTTCTCGGTGTCTACCTGTCTCGCCCTTTCCCCCCTTCGCCTCTGCCACTCGCAGTCCTACCAGACTCCCTCGCTGCCCGCTCAGCTCCAAACGTCTTTGCTCGCCCCGCTGAGCCGTGGGGATGCGGTGAGGCGCTGGGGACAAGCCAGCGTTGTGGCCGGCCGCTTCTCCAAAGAGCGGGTCAGCTCGTAAAGGTGCTGTGTCCAGACGAGCACGATGTGTGTCCGCAGGATAACGGCCCAGGCTCAGAGTCCCTCTGAGCGAGGGTGGAAGCCATAAAGAGCTGAGGTCCCAAACTGCTGAGAATGTAAATAATTAGCGGAGCGCTGAAGGTAAAAAAGCTAAATGGAAACATGGCCATAAGCAGTCAGAGACCGAGGGGAAGGTGAGGAATCCGGAGCAGAGGAGGCTGGCAAGAGCTGTTAAAGACACTTGCCTGGAGCTCTCTTTGCACAGCTCAGTTGCTAACGCTGCCCCGCGTGGGTTTTGGTAACTTTTGCTGTGAAATTAAACTCACGGCGTTTGCTGGTGGGGTGACGTGGCAGGAGGCATGTTACGCCTTTAAGAAGAGGTGTCATAGCTGTGTTTTTTTTTTTTCTCTTTCCTTCGAAGGCCTCGGTTGGCAGGCAGAGCCCGAGGGTGCCGTACCCAGCCCACAGTCTGTGTCCTGGAGAGCCTGGCCTTCAGAGCGCAGCAGGTACCCGCCGCTAAGCGTGCTTCTGCTTGCCGGAGGAAACAAGGTCCATCTGTTCCCTTCTCCTTCCAACATCTTCCGGGCCTGTTGGTTGGTTCCCGTGCCGTTTGACAGAGGGGGAAGGTCTGAAAGAGGCCAAAGCTCCTACAAGTGCCTCTTCTGGAGAACAGGCTGGAGGGGGCTTTGAGCAGCCTGGACTAGTGGAAGGTGTCCCTGCCCATGGCAGGGTGTGGGACTGGGTGGGCTTGAAGGTCCCTTCCCACCCAAACCATTCAGGAATTCTTGCAATAAGGGTTAACGATGCTAAAACCATCTCAGACGAAGGAAAGGTGCAGTGTGTGCTCGCATGTTATGACGCTGACGAATCCAGTGGGGAGGGAGACACAAACACTTGGAAACCCTTCCCATTCTGCTTTCGGTCAGTTGTGGGACTGGAATGTTCAGAGAACAGGCTCTGCAATTCAGCGCTCACGGAGCGACTTGGCAGGGATGTTCCAGGGAGGTTTAGATTAGATATCAGGAAGAAATTCTTCACAGAGAGGGTGGTGAGGAACTGGAACAGGTTGCCCAGAGAAGCTGTGGATGCCCCATCCCTGGAAGTGTCCAAGGCCAGGCTGGATGAGGCTTGGAGCAACCTGGTCTAGTGCAAGGTGTCCCTGCCCATGGCAGGGGGGTTGGAACTAGATGGGCTTTAAGATCCCTTCCCACCCAAACCATTCTATGATTCTATGATTCCCCAGCCCCTCACTCCTTTCTGTCTCTTCCTCTGGCTTCTCGTGGCTGCTTACACAAGACAGGGTCGTCCCGCGTCGCGTCCGAAGGTTCGGTCCGGGCTGGTGCTAATGTCCAACTTCTGATCCCTGCAGTTGTGTCAATGGGCTCAGCTGATCATCGACTGAACCTGGCAGAGATCCTCTCCCAGAACTATGGTGTGCGGGAAGAAAGGGAAGAAGAGGATGATACTCAGGAGAAGCAGAAATCTTTAGAAGAGCTGGAGAAGAGTTTCAGTGCCTCTCAGGTAAAGGCAGCCAGGTGGGGAAGGGAAGTGACCTGCTGGATTTTCTTGTTGGCTCTGACCGTTGTGGTACTAAAGATCTCTGTGAGGAACTCGGGCAGCGCCCGGTGCTCGGGGCCACCCGTCAGCGCGAGTTTGGTCCTCCCGTGGGTGACCCCACGGAGACCTCAAGGCAACACAAGGCGTGTTCTTGGTGACAGAGACTTCAGCAGGGATTTGCTCCTTCCATTCCCTGGGATAAATGCCCTCCTGTTCTCTGGCATCTTTTCACCAGCATTAAATCTAGTATAAAAATAAATGCGTTTTTAAAATGCCCTGAGTGTTGCTTTTGGGGGAAGGTGTCTGGTTTCTCCGTACCTCTGAGAACTCCAGGTCACGGTGGGTTCCGATAAGACCGTGCCTTCTTCATTCCACAACGTTACCTGCGGCATTCCCTGGAGAGCAGAGCTGCCCTGATGGTCCCGGCGTGGCTCTGTTCGCCACCCTGGTGTTGTACTCACTGAGTGTTCCTTTCCTGATGAAGCTTTGTCCTCCTCTCGCTCAGAGCAGTGAAATGCCATTTGAGGAGCTGCTTGCACTTTATGGCTATGAGGCACCTGATCCCATCTCGGAGCAGGACAGCGAGAGCAATGATATTACTCCCAATCTCCCAGATATGACTCTGGATAAGGTAAGAGCAGTGCCTGCTCGGGTCTACGCTGTTACCATAGAATCACGGAATGTTTTGGGTGGGAAGGGACCTTAAAGGCAACCCAGTGCCACCCCCTGCCATGGGCAGGGACACCTTCCATGAGACCAGGTTGCTCCAAGCCTCATCCAGCCTGGCCTTGGACACTCCCAGGGATGGGGCATCCACAGCTTCTCTGGGAACCTGTCCCAGTGCTCCCACCCTCTGCGGGAAGAATTCCTTCCTGATGTCCCATCTCCATCTCCCTCTTTCCGTTTAAACCCATCACCCCTTGTCCTGTCACTCCCTGCCCTTGGAAAAAGTCCCCCCCAGCTTCCTTGTAGCCCCCCCAGGCACTGGAAGGGGCTCTAGGGTCTCCCTGGAGTTGTTAGCTGTGCTGCAGGTTACTGTGCTGTCCCGGAGCTGGAGACGTGTAGTGGCTTGTTGCGGGTGGGTTTGACCAATGCCGGGGAAGGGTCCGGCTGGTTCCGGTGTCTCAGTGAGGAAGGCCAGGTGCAGAAACTGAATTTGAAGAGTTTATGTGAGCTGGGAAAAGGATAACTGCTGTAAAAACAACACTGTAAAACCTCTTTATGGAGCTTGGGCTACAGGGTTTTACCCATAGATGTGGATCTGTTGGAGTCAGGGAGGTTTGTGTCCTCCAGCTGAAGCTGTGGCTCCTCCTGGTCTGGCTAAAGTCTGTGGAAAGCTTTTGTTTTTCCTTCCAGGATCTCTGAGAGGTTTGCTCTGGGTGGAGATCTACAGGAAGGGCCACTTGCTCATCCTCCGGTTAGGAAGCCGCACTTGGGACTTGTAGGAGTGCTTCTGGGGAACATAATCTCGGGATGGTGGGGAGTGTGAGAGAGAATCTGTCTCTGGAGAAGCTACGGGAGGGTGAGGAGAGCAGTGGAGCAGCCGCTTTTGGCCAGAAATGCTTTACTCTAGGCCTCACCCCCTCGCATATATATATTTTTTTTAATTTAAAAATATTTTTCACTTTCTTGTTGTTGTTAAAAGGAACAAATAGCGAAGGATTTGCTTTCAGGGGAAGAAGAGGAGGAGACACAGTCTTCAGCTGATGATCTGACTCCATCCGTCACATCCCACGATGCATCGGACCTGTTCCCAAACCAGCCTGGCTGTATGTGTCACTCATTTCGCAGTCACTGTTTTCACTTAGATGTGCTGTGCAGGAGAGGGCAAGAGTGCTTTTCCTTACTTTGTCACTTAGTTTCCTGACGTCTCTTCTCCGCTTTCCCACTGGGGGCTGCAGAGAAGCGGGTGCCGCTGGCGTGACCCAGCGTTGGCTGGGATGTGACTGAGCGCAGGGGAACTCTGGGAGGAGGGGAGGATTGTCTTAGCTCAGAACACTGGGAAGGTGAGGTTTTGCTACGGGCTGTAATCACAGTCCAAAAGATCAGAGTGTGTTCTGGCATCCCTGCGAGTGAATAACTTCAGCGGTACCACGGTGTGAGATTCGGGCAGTTCCTAAGTACTGGAATATGCAGGAAGTCAAAGTGCTTGGGAGACTCGGCATGAAGTGATCTTATTCCTTCCGCTGGCCCACAGAATGAGGAGCCTGAGCTCCCCAGCTGGGTTGGCACCAGCCGCGTGGCGGGTGTGCAGATCCGTTATTTAAAAGGAGAAGATGAAAATACAGGGATGTTGTCACTGCGGACCATGCTGGAAGTAACTTCAGGTCAGAAGATGGAGGGAAGGAGAGGGAACGTAGAGCAACAGGAGGAAAACTGGTTTCATAACAGCAGATCTTTTCCTTCCCACACAGCAAACAACTTCCTTGCTGATGAGGACAAAGAGCCCTGTTCATCTCCGTGTGCTTCCTCCATGGCTGAGGATTCCGAGGAGGATTCCATCCCATCCAACGAGTGTAAGAAGGTAAGCGATGGGAGCGCGTTGGGACAGGGAGCCAACACAGTGCCTCGTGTTCGGTGGCGGCAGACGTGGGTTACCAGAGCTCTTTAATGCGATCTTGAAATCTGTATCTGAAGCTACCTTCTGCCTCAGATAGGGAAGACGCTGTTGCGCCTTATCATGGAATCATGGAGTGGTTTGGGTGGGAAGGGACCCTAAAGCCCACCCAGTCTCACCCCCTGCCATGGGCAGGGACACCTTCCGTAGCCCAGGTTGCTCCAAGCCTCATCCAGCCTGGCCTTGGACACTTCCAGGGATGGGGCATCCACAGCTTCTCTAGACAAATCAACACTGCGGGTCGTAAAGGCGAATGGCCATGCGATATTCCCAGCAGGATTTATGGGTGGGAGTCACCTTACAAAAGAGAGGAGCAGACTCCTAAATCCTTTCTGGTTGTGAAGGTTGCGGGAGAGCTGCTGCATTTCTTCCTCTCTCCAGCCTTAGCTGTTGCCATACATCCTTAACATTAAAACTGAGCAAATGCCTAAATCCCCAAAGCATCCCCTGGTTGGCAGTAAATCCCTTCAGTTGCTCGATAAAGTAGTCGGGGTTCCCTAAGAGTAAAAGTAACGTGGAGGCTGCCGATGTGTAAACGGGCCTCGTGGTGTCGTCGTGCCTAAAGCGTGCCGCGCGCCTCGGTGCCTGCGTGGAGCGCTTTCCGCTTCAATTCACCCGCTTCCCTGTGCTGGGTTTCAGGAGATCATGGTCGGACCCCAGTACCAGGCCGTTGTTCCCGCCCTCCAGTCCAACAGGCACGGTGAAAAAGGTAAGGCAGCTGCTTCCCGTACCCTGCGGGGGTGTGGGGCTGCTGGCCGGGCGTCTGATGGGGCCCAGGTTCCCCAGCTCTGCTCGATTTCTCTAGGCTGGCACCAAACTCACAGCTACGCCGGAGCTGGCTTTAACCTGTTTGTGTGGGGCTCCGGAAGCCGAGCAGCTCGGCGAAACCGGGGCGGCGTGGAGGGTGGGGGTCTCTGCTGGAGCCAGAGGGAAGGAATAGCCTTCTGGAGAGACTTGGATTTGTTTTTCTCTGCCATTTCCTTAAGTTGCCAGTGTTACTTTCATTCCGTGCTCCCTGGAGCTGTTGAGTTGCCGGTCGGATAAGTTACCCGTGGAACAGACGAGGTGCCCTGATTTGCAGCGTGTCCAGTGACCCGTGGGGTGCTAGGGGCAGCTCCTGAGCAGGGCAGCGAACGGAGCACTGCATCCTTAGAATTGACTCGCTTCCTCCCCAGGTCTCTTAGCCCAGCAGACCCGGAGCTAGTGAATTAGAGATGGAAGTTTGGCAGGGGCTGTTTCAGATTTACCCCGTGCAGTTCCCAGGAATTCTCACCGTTGCTTTCCCAGTGCTCTTGGCCTCTGCGTCGAAGACGCAGACTCGCGTGTGTTTTCCGTAACCTGTGCGTTGGTGTCGGTGGGATACGGAAGGAAGGGGGTACTAGACTCCGGTGGGAGGCTTTCATGCCCTGTCTGTAGTGTCTCTGACCTGATTTTAGGGATTCTACAGGGCAGAAGTGTTGGTTCCTTTGCCTGTAGAAAGGAGTTAAGTACAGAGAGTGCCAATGTTTTTACCTGAATAGGAAAATCTCAACATTTCTGATTGTTTTTTCACTGTCGAGTCTTTCCTCTTGTTTCCCCCGTGGTGTTATTTAAACATCTCTGCGTTGTTGTGCCGTGTCCTCCTGGACTAGAGGCCTTGAAAGCTGAAAGGGGCAGAATCCCTTAGCGATGCCGCGTGCTCCGGCCACTCGGCGTGGGGGGAACAGCTCGGGGGCAGCGTCGCAGGCTGTCACAGCAGAGGGGCAGCCTTGCAGCTGCTTAACTTTGTGTCTGGGACAGGGAGAGGGTCTCGAGCCTAGGCCAGGGGGTAGCTCAATGCTGCCTTTGCCTCCTGCTCCTTTTCTTTACTGTGTGCTGGGGAAGACACCTTGGAACCCGGGGTTTTAGTTGCCAGGAGTAAGGAATCGAAGCCGCAGTCTTTGAGAACATGGCAGCAAAAACCTTGTCAGCCAGCCTGTGGCTGTGAAAGGGGCATAGAGTGTTGAACTTATCTGCCCCCAAAACGAGGAGGGAAAATGCACCTTCACAGGGATGGCTGTCATCTCCAGCGCAGGTCGGAGCACCAAGCAGAGATTCCTCCCTCCTCCCGTCTCTCCCGTGCACGTAGGTGCAGACCGCTTCTCCACAGCAGCAGAATTCTCTGATCAGCTTATTTCAGTGCTTTTTCCGGTAGCCTACGAGAACGAGGACCAGCTGCTTTGGGACCCGAACGTACTCCCCGAGAGAGAGGTGGAGGAGTTCCTGTACCGCGCAGAGAAGCGGCGATGGGACGAGGTGGCCAGCAGCAGCCTGCTGGAGGGCGAGACGGTGAAGGACAACGAGCAGGTAAGCGTGGGGCAGAGGCTGAACGGGGCTGGCGTAACAGCACAGCATCCCCTCTGGGGATTCTGACTGAGAGACCCCCTAAGAGAGGAGGAGACCTTGCTCCTGCGACCTTCTGCTCCCGCTCCCTGCATCAGCGGGGGTGAGCTGCAGCCTCGGAGGCTGTTGGGAAGCCAGGAGCGAGCCGTAGCAGGTCGCACCATGGGCCTGCCCAGCTAAGCACTTGTCTTCCAACACAGTAACAGGCGTTGGTGGAAAGCGTGTACAGACTGGGCAGGTAGAGAATGGGTCCTGTTTGTTCTCCCAGTATCCAGAACCCTGAGCCAGAGCTTGCAGCAGAATCATCCTCTTAGAAACCTAGGATGGTTTGGGTGGGAAGGGACCTTAAAGATCATCCACTTCCAACCCCCCTGCCATGGGCAGGGACACCTTCCATAGCCCAGGTTGCTCCAAGCCTCATCCAGCCTGGCCTTGGACACTCCCAGGGATGGGGCATCCACAGCTTCTCTGGGAACTTGTCCCAGTGCCTCCCCACCCTCTGCGGGAAGAATTCCTTCCTGATGTCCCATCTCCATCTCCCTCTTTCCGTTTAAACCCGTCACCCCTTGTCCTGTCACTCCCTGCCCTTGGAAAAGTTCCCCCCAAACTTTCTCGTAGCCCCCCCAGGCACTGGAAGGGGCCCTAAGGTCTCCCTGGAATCTCTCGGCCTTGTCCTGTGGAGCGTTGTCTGATTCTCTGAATCCAGAGGAAGGTCAGGCGTTTGGCTAAGGAGCTTGGGCGCGGTGTTTCCTCGCAGCTGGCCAGGTTAGATCCTCGCAGCAAGTCTGCAGGAACGCAGAGGCTTGTAACCTGCAGAGCTGTGCCTGCAGTCCCGGGGCCTGCAATCCAGGGGGAAGGAGGTAATGATGCTCGAGCTGGGGTTGGTTTAAGGGGAGGCAGCGTGTTGCTCGGGTACGTGCCGTTGGTAACTTTGCCCCATCTCCCAGGCTTTGTACGAACTGGTGAAATGCAACTTCAATGCCGAGGAGGCGCTGCGGAGGCTGCGGTTCAACGTGAAGGTCATCCGAGGTGAGAACCTCCCGATGTGGGTCCCACCCCGAGCACCGAGGCACGCGCGACTCCACGTTCGGCCCATCCCCTGCCATTCCTCTTCCCTTCCGCTGTAGATGAGCTTTGTGCCTGGAGCGAGGAAGAATGTAGAAATTTCGAACATGGCTTCAGGGTCCATGGGAAAAACTTTCACCTTATCCAAGCAAACAAGGTAAGGACGGCCGGGCGCCCTGCGTCCCACTAGGACGGAGGGAGGAGGCGCGTGCGTTGCACCGGAGGTACGTTTGGAGCCTCGGCTAATGCAGGAAGTTCAGGATCGCTGAGTTCCCGTCCCAGGTTTTGTGTTGACTCACGCTAGCAGGTGATGGGCTGTTCACTGCCCTGCTCTGCCTTATTTTCCAGGTGGGAGAAGTCACAAACAACCCTGACCTGCATGAGTGATGTCAGTTAATTACTGATTAGCCCTTTCTGGAGTCTCAAAAGTTCTTTCCAAAATCTCAGCCCTTGCAGTACTTCTGTGAATGAGTGAGTTGAGCATGTGGATGTTTTGTAAAGTCCCCTGGGGTCCTCTAGAACCAAAGCTGCTGTTGTAGGGAGAGCTGGGCCCCAGGACATGCTGCTGTGCTGGGAGTTGGCAGAACCAGAGAGTCCAGTTCTACCGCGGATTAATTGCGGGCGTGTTGACGCTGGCCAGTGGAAGTGGATGCAGGTTTGCTGTCCTGGTGTGAAGTGTGCGACGGGAAGCGCAGGCGAGCGTGCCGTGTGTGCCTCACGCTGGGGTCTGCAGGAGCAGTTGTGCACTCTGGGGATGTCTGTCTCTGGCCGACTACCGCCTTGGAAACCTCAGTACGTGCTTCGTTCTGCAGCACAGATGTGTCCGTAGCGATTTAAATTTGTGCCATGCACTTGATTTTCTGTGCTGATTAAATGGGGGAATAGCCCTTGCGCCACGAGACCCCCCCCCGTGGTGCCTGGCTTTCCGACTCCGCTCTTTCTCCTCAGGTCCGCACCCGGTCGGTGGGCGAGTGTGTGGAGTATTACTACATGTGGAAAAAATCAGAGCGCTACGACTACTTCACCCAGCAGACTCGTTTAGGAAGGAAGAAGTACGTCCTCCACCCTGGAGCCACGTGCGTGGAATATTCTCACACTAAAATTAGTAATATTCACCCCCCAGGGAGGATTCCTGCCGCAGAGCAGCTCCGCGTGAACGGCTACGCGCTCTGCTCTAGGAGGTTCCCTGGGTGGGAGCGTGGAGGGATGCCCTGGCTATTCCCAGGACACAAACCGCTGTTAGCGTGGGGAAGGAAGATAAAGCCAGTGTGATATTTGCTTGGAAGTGGACTTTCTGGTGTCGGAAAATAGGGTTTTGTCTCAGATGTGCGCCCACCGGAGCGAAGGGTCAGGGATTCAGGGCTGATCTCCGGAGATAACTCCGGGATGGGGGGAGGGAGCTTTTTAAGTTCACAGACAGAATATTTCTGGTGTTTTGGAGCCTGAATTAAATGAATTCCCTGCTGCTGCCCTTTGAGGCAAAGTCTTCACTTTGAAATGAATGCTAATTGCAGGTTGAAACTGAAATGTTTGAAGAGGTCAAAATGAAATCCTTAAGTTGAATCAATTAAAAACATTAGATGAAGTCTTAGATTTTTTTTTTTTTAATTATTCTGATGCAAGACAGGAAAATACCTGCAATCTCAAATTTCTCCAGCATGGGAAAGTGTTTTCTCATCACTTGCTCTTTGCTGGCACGCTCATCTCCACAGCCCCCCCCAGCCAGCCGGCC